ATAGTCATCAGTCTGACTATAGGATAAGGCACCCATTGTGACTATAGACATGGCACAGTGCAGTCAACCTCTCCTCACCTGCCCAAGTTCCTCGAGGGGGTCACCCCATGCCTCTAAGAACCCCTCGAGAGATAATGATCTTGACAACCCCAGAATGGCCTACTCAATTAATATCATCAGTGTATGTGCATTAACTTGTGTGTTTGTGTGTGCGTGTGTGTGTTTAAATCACAATAAAAACAAATGGATTGTAATATTGAAATTTCTTCTCATCTTGAGAACAATGTTTGCTACAGAAATACTGTCATAGTAGTACTGAGAGTGTAAGCTGTCTCAGCAAGGAGAAGTAACTAGAGGAATCCCCCAGGAGTTAGGCTCAGTGTCCCAGGAATTACGCCCAAGGAAAGTCAATGAACTCATGGATGGAAGATAAAACTCAGCCTAAATAACACTCCAAATCATTTAGGTGGAACATGAGATACTCTTGCAACAGTTTCAAGATGTCAAAAATGCCTGGACTAGAACATAAGGGGAACAAAATGATGTGGAGCTGAGAGTGCATGGCAAAACTGATTGGATCTGGCAAAAATTAAGGAAGCATACCAAGGAAACCACCAGGGGGACAAAACCCTAAGAAATCTGTATGACAACATATCATGTTTACAATTCTGTGATTTTTAGACAAAGGAAAGATCCTAAATATGTCACTGCCACACTGGTGATGATTAACCCATTCCATCGTAGTGTGACTCCCTGTTGTGTTTAAGATAACCTGTCAATTCTGTTTATTTAGGTACAGGGAAATTTGCATAGTTTGCAGAGATTAACTAACAGCATCATTTACTGAGAAGCAAAGGCAAGGCAAAGCAATCATAGTCATGTTGTTGAATGCTGATGATGTTATTGGTAGTTTTGTGGGTATTTTCTTAAAGGGAAATCATCGGTGACTCTCATGCATGAAGAGATCCTATTTCTGTGATGTGTCTGGAAGGACTGAAATAAATAAACTAAAATAGTTTTTTTTTCTCACCTTCTAGTAACATATTTTTTTTGCTATATCCAAATAAGTGTGTTGCATGAGTTTCTTCCACTCCTTCAGCCAATAGCCACTGAGATACCAGCCCATTGAGGTGTGGTCTCTCTCTCTTTCAAAAACCAACATTTACCTTCTGCTTGATCTCTTGCTTCCAGTTTCCCTTCCAGCCTCTATGCTTCTTTCCTGATCCCGCTGAGGGTTTTTGTCAGGGATGGTCATCTGTAAGTTTTTGCCCTTTAAAGATATAATCATTCTTTTAATCACAATTCTAAACTGGTGTGGGGGATTATTTGACTAAGGAAAGGAGAAAGCATTCATAGAGGCAGGAAACCTTACCTTTGCAAATGACCCATTTGGAGGCCCTACTTCAGGCTCCTCTCTTTCCCTTTTCTTGTTTTCTTTTTTAGTTTAGGACAAGATTAAAACTCAATATAAAAGTCTGTGAACACTGAATGAGTTAAGTATGTGTGACCACCTTGATGTCTGCCTGTCTGACAACAGGGGCAGTGTTCATGGGCATCTGACGCATAGCACAGGATTGTCAGCAATCAATCTTTGGTCCACCTAACTCTGCAGCATAAGAGTTGTCATGGTTGCTCATCTGATCCTCTTCATATGATCTCCATCCACAGAGATGTCAAAAAAATCCTCCCCTGAAAAGACAAGTTCTTTTCAAATGAAAGATTATACAGCAGAAGAGATGTGGAAGATTTATTAGGGCAAGCTCTTGAAAGGATAAAGTGATGGTAGTAATTCATTGCTTAATTAAATAAAGAAACTGCTTCCCCTGTTAATTTAGAACATAAGTGGGAGGAGAAAGAGAACAGAATGCTGGGAGCAAGAAGCAGTGTGCTCAGAGACACCATGATCCACTCTCGTGGGAAGACGTGATAGCTCTCCTCTCTGAGGCAGAGGGCAATGCAGCCAGCAACCAGGTTAGACCTGTTGAATCTTTCCTGGTGAGCACACTCGTGATGCTACATAGATTATTAGAAATGGGTTAATAGGCTAAACTAATGGGCCAGGCAGTGTTTAAAAGAATCGTTGGTGTGTAATTATTTCTGGACATTAGCTAGCGAGGCTGCCCTGGTGCTGGTTACACAGCTCCGCTGCTCAAATTACTACAGAATGGCACTCAGACATGTGGAAAACTGAATCCACTGAAAGCCTGAGAAAGCCCTGGAACGAGTAAAGCATGTTTTCTTTTTAGCAGCTATATCTCGGGTCTGCACTACTTGCTAGTAGCAAGCAAGCACACTCATTTAAGAGAAGATTCCTGACTCACCTTCAGCTGCAAAACCCTGCTGCTGTTAAGTGGTCCTGCCACGGAACATTTAAATGGTGTTGATAAAAGCCAGCTGAATGCTTGTTTGTTTTCAGCAGTAGCAGGAAAAAAAAAACTGTGATGTTTTAAAATGCCGGAATTCTGGGCCATACTGCCAGAACAAACTCTGACTGTTTGAGTCAGGAGTGCCAGCTACAAAGAGAGGGCTTGAGTGTTGTCTTTTGCAGCTTGTTTGATGGCAAGGACCTTGAAACACTGTAGACTTGTGGCACTGAATGCGGCTCTGGCCGGTACCTCAGCCATAAGGTTGGAATGGCAGAAAGCTAAGGAATGGGCTACATCTAGCTGGCAAAGGCACCTCTTAATCCTACTGAGATTGCTGTGTAAATTAAAGATTCATGTGGTAAAAAAAAAGAGATATATAGAGTAAAGAGAGATTCAAAGACAAAGAAAAATTTTAAATGATTTACAGTGTGTTAAAAATATGTGCAGGCTAAAAGTTATGTTCTTGAAGTTAAAAAAGGAAGAGAGTTGTTGGTTGCAGTAGTACACACCTTTAATCCCAACACTTGGGAGGCAGAGAGAGATTGACCTCTGTAACTTCAAGGTGTGGTAGCACATACCTTTAATCCCAGTGCCGAGAAGGCAGAGACAAACAGTTCTCTGTGAATTCAGGTGTAGTACCATACACCTTTGATCCCAATGCTGGGAGGCAGAGACATGTGGATCTCTGAAACTTCAAGGACAGCATGTTCTACAGATTTATTCCAGGTCAAAGATCCAGAGAACCTGTCTCAAAAGGCAAAAAATAAAAAGGAAAAATAAATTAGAGCTTAAATTGAAGCTAACAAAAATGGAAAATACACAGAGAATTTTGATACTGTATGCTATTGTGCTCTGTTTGAATCATTTGAAGGCTGAGGAAGGAGCAATAGCTGCTAAAAGATATTTGTTTATAAATGCTGCTGAACTAATCCCACATAGATATTTTGAAAGTGCCTTGACTTTAAAATTTGGATCTAAGGACATGATGCTTTGGAAAGGAGGTTCTTATATTGTTTTCAGAGATTGTGAGAGTCTGTGGACTGCCGCTATCCCAATATGGTAGTATTGATCTCGACCTCCTGAAAGGTTGCTGTGAACACCTTCAAAAAATAGCTTTGGTCAACTGCCAATTGAGATGAAACTAGCCCACAGGTTATGAAGGCATATGTCATAAACAATGCCACACCAGTTTGGAATAATGATTAATACGCTGGTATTTACTTAAAGGGGAAATAACTTACAGATCACTGTCAGCCCTCTGTGCAACCACGAAAAAAGTCTAGTCACCTGCAGAGCAGAAAATGAATAGAGCGAGGAGAGGGAAGTGGCTGCTTTTTTAAAGAGAGAGAGACCACGCCCCAATTGGCTGGTATCTCAGCAGCTATAGGCTGGAGGAATGGGAGGACCTCCCACAATACCTCCCCTTTTGTTTAAATAAGAGAGTTCTAAACCTACTATGAAATTATATACAATAAGTACAAATATCCTATTCTAACTAGATAGGTCTTGTATAAAAAATAACTTGGCCAAGTCATGAGAGAAAGTAACTACATTTATATAGTCTACAACCCCATCAAAAATCTGAGAAGGGAAATAATGTTATCTGGTTAATTAGGAAGTTGAGTAAAACAACTTCCAAAACATGCAACAAATCACAGAGACAATTAGCTACCTGGACAATCACCCAAATTCACGTTAGCAGCATTGAAGCAACCAACTTTGGCTAAGGCCTAACATAACTGACAAATCATTTTCAAAGGCAGGTAACTTTTTGAAACTATCTTACCCTGTCTAGGCAGGACATGACTGTCTTGTTTTATTCATTGATGCACGCTCTGTATCTCTGTCAGTGGTTGAGGTATGGTCATTTCTTTGCCCCAAGGCAAGTTCTGCCTAAAAGAAAGGCTACAGGTGGAGTGTCTTCGTGCTCAATATTCTCTCGGGAATAGAGTGGTGTTGCCAGGAGCAATTGTATCTCATTCCCACTAAACTCTGAGTTAGATTAAAGGCCATTTTCTACAGCTCTTTGAAGAAGTTGAAGATTATCTATCTATACTGAGTATGTTCTCTATATATCTAAAGAACCTGATTAGTCTAATTATAAATGACAAACTTAGATGACTATTAGTCTATATAATTCTCAATATCTATCTAACTTAAAGACTGACAATAAATGACTATGAAACAAATGAGGACAATGACCTCCAAATATAAACAGTGTACAAATATTTATTGCAGTAGTTAAATATATATCAATACACAAACATTATATAAGTATCTTAATCAGAGGTAGAAATGTACACTACAATATGGTAAATATATACAATATATATATATCAATACAATATATGTCAATACATAAAAATGTTTTAAACTGAGGTAGAAACATGCAGGCATACAAAAGTCAATACAATTTAACTTTGTATCAATATACAAGTATCTATACCAATATATTTGTCTAAAAACAGAAACTCAGATTTACAAATCTATTATCCTATCATCCCCTTTTTTCAAATGATTCCTGCCCTTATAAAATTCCTCCCCCAACCCTCAATCGTATACTAATTATAATCAACCCCTAAATGATGTCCCTAAACCCAAGGGCAAACTTTACTGGGAGAGGGGCATTGTCCTCTAGAATTTCTTCCAGCCCTCATGGGGTGACGTGCTCTCTGGGGGATCCTGTGAAAGTAAGATGATGGTTAAATTTCAAGATCAATGTTTATTAAAATTGCCAATAGTCTCTGAGTGTTTTGTGCTGGTCTGGCCAAAATATTGTATAAGATGTGCACCATTTCAGCTAATCAAGTTGGAATTGTCTTGTGCAGCTGGTACCCAAATCAGGTCTTGTAGTAGCACTATCAGTATCATGATGTCATATCAACCAGGTGGAGTTGTTGTTATGGGGCCCCATCTTATTACTGGACACTTCAAATGTCACTTCAGGAAAAACTCATTGTTCATTGTGAAAAAAATTAAACTTTAGTCATATATATATATATATATGTATATTCATTGAAAGGCGTGATAGATATATTCAATGATAAGTATGATGGATATGAAGAAAAGCAAGGATGTTTTCTAAACTCATATTTCTTTCTATCCCACACCATGGCTCTTAATAAGAGACAGAAACTCCAGAAATTCTGGGTTTTTCTCTTACTAACGGGCTTGGAAATAGAGAGGGACTGAGCCAGAGTCCAACTTCAACACCAGCTTTATAAATTTAGAAATATGGTTTAATATATTTTACTTATACAACTCATTCAGTTTTCTTGATATTTCCTATTGGGCAGGTATTTTTCCATCTGTCAGTATCCAAACATCCAGGGTCCCTTGAATTTTTCAAAGATGAGTGTTTTCCTGTGGAGATAAGAACAGAACCCTGCCCCCATTTTGTATGTTTTTCTTACTACCTGTATGAATATCATCATTGTGGATGAGTTGTCATTTCTCCTTTCCAAGAGGTTTCTCCTCTTCAAATTGAAACTTTATTAATTTTGATGGTATCCACAATTTTTCCTCCTCTGTGGAAACAAGAGCAAATCCCATTCCCCAACGTAGCACATCTCCTGGCTTCCACTTAGAGGTCAGCACATCTTTGAAATAAATTGGTTGATTTAGTTCGGCAGAAGTTTCCATTATCCAATGTCTTTCTGCTGCTGTCATTCCTTTCTCATTAGCGTTAAGAAAATTCAAGGTTGATAAAGCATTATGTAATCTATTTCTGGGGGTATTTATGGTCCCTTTCTGTTTGTTCAGCATATGCTTTATAGTACGATTTGATCTTTCTATAACTGCCTGACCAGTAGGATTATTTGGTATACCTGTAATGTGTTTTATACTATAATACTCAAAAAAAGTGTTTCATTTTCTTAGATACATATGCTGGACCATTATCTGTCTTTATTTGTGCTGGTATACCCATGATGGCCATAACTTCCAATAAATGTGTGATTACTGAATCAGCCTTTTCTGAGTTCAGGGCAGTTGCCCATTGAAAACCTGAATACGTGTCTATGGTGTAGTGTACATATTTTGATTTACCAAATTCCATAAAGTGGAACACATCCATCTGCCAGATTTCATTTCTCTTAGTGCCCTTTGGGTTACTCCCTGCAGGCAACGCTGTTTGATTATAGAAAGAACAGGTAGGACATCTCTTGATAATGTCCTTAGCTTGTTGCCAAGTAATGGGAAATTCTTTCTTTAGGCCTTTACTATTGACATGATGCTTCTTATGAAATTCTGAGGCCTGCAACACACTTCCAATCAATAATTGATCAATCTCAGCGTTGCCTTGGCCTAGAGGACCAGGCAGACCTTTATAGGGCCAGATGTGTGTTATGTACATCGGACAAAGCCTATTCCTGACTATCTCTTGTACCTGGATAGACAATGAAGTCAACTCTGTGTCATCTGGTATAAATTCAGCGGTTTCAATATGCAAGATAACTCTTTCTGCATATTGTGAATCTGTAACTATAGTAAGAGTTTCTTTAAAGTCCCTTAGCACCATAAAAATGGCATATAATTCTGCCTTTTGAACAGAATTATAAGGGCTTTTTTCCACCTTACTCAATTCACCTGACTTGTAAACTGCTTTCTCTGATTTATTTGCATCAGAATAGAATGTGCGGCCTCCAGTTATTGGAGCATCACGTACAATAATAGGAAGAATTCAAGAAGTTCTTTTAATAAGGTTAAGTCTACCATTTTGGGATAGTTTCTATTAATTTCTCCCCCAAAATTAGCAAAAGCTCTTAGCCACGGTTCACTGTCTTCCGATAACTTTTTTTTTTCTTCAGTCGTAAAAGGCACTGTAATTTCTGCTGGGTCTATACCTGCTAGTTGACGAAGTCTCAGCTTACCTTTTATAATTAATTCAGAGACTTTTTCCACATTAGTTTTTAATGTTTTACTTGGTTTCTTAGGTATATATATCCACTCTAAAATAATATCTTCCCTCTGCATTAGAATCCCTGTAGGAAAAATTCTGGAAGGCAATATGACTAGGATGCAGCTAAGATTTGGGTTCACCCTATCCACATGTGCCTCCTGTAATTTTTCCTCAATCATTGTGAGTTCCTTTTCTGCTTCAGCTGTCAGTTTTCTTGGACTATTCAAATCTTTATCACCATCTAAGGTTTTGTTTAAATGATCATGTGTTATCCCAACAGCTGGTCGTAGACTGGAAATGTCTCCTAACAATCTTTGGAAGTCATTAAGGGTGTTTAACTGGTGTCTCCTAATTTGTGCCTTTTGCATATTAATTTTCTCTAACCCTATTCTGTAACCTAGGTAATTAATAGAATTTTCTCTTTGAATCTTTTCAGGGACAATTTGGTATCCCCACCTAGGCAAGAATTTCTTTACTTCTTCAAACATCCTTTCTAATGTATCTTTTTTTTTGAATCAGATAACAAGATGTCATCCATGTAATGATAAATTATGGACCTTGGGAATTGTTTACGAATTATTTCCAATGGCTTACTTACAATATATTAGCACAATGTAGGACTATTGAGCATACCCTGTGGGAGGATAGTCCATTGATATACCCTATTAGGCTGAGAATTATTATAAGTAGGCACTGTGAAGGCAATTTTTTCTCTATCCTCTTCTTGTAACGGTATAGTGAAAAAACAATCTTTCAAATCAATAACTATAAGAGGCCATCATTTTGGTAACAGAGAAGGCAAAGGAATTCCAGATTGTAGTGGGCCCATAGGTTGAATTACTTTGTTGACAGCTCTTAGATCTGTCACCATTCTCCATTTACCAGATTTCTTTTTTACAACAAACACAGGAGAATTCCAAGGGCTGGTTGATTCTTCAATATGGTGAGCATCTATTTGCTCTTACAACAGCTGTTCAATGCCTGTATTTTATCTTCAGCTAGAGGCCACTGTTTGTTCCATACTGGCTTCTCAGTAGCCATTTTAAAGGTAGGGCTGTTGGGACCTCTAAAGGTTTGATATTTGCTGTATGTTCTTGTAGAGCCTGAATGGCTGGTGACCTTTTTTCATAATACCTCATCATATTGTCCCAGAATTATGAGTTCCTGGAACTACAGGAATGTTAATCTGGGTATTCCATTGCTGTAGCAGGTCACGGCCCCACAGATTTATGGCAATATTGGCTATATATTGCCTTAGTCTTCCTATTTGTCCTTCGAGCCTTATGCATTCAACCCATCTTGTGCTTTGTTTTACACGAGATAGGGTTCAAATTCCCAGAAACTGAACATCTACCCCTTGATGTGGCCAATTCAGATGCCAAGATTCTGGGGTAATGATACTTACATCCGCACCTGTGTCTAAGAAGCCTTCAATAAAATGACATTTATACAGACCCTTCACTTTGGTCTTTGATCGTTAATAGAAGTCTGCCAAAATATATGTTTACTCTGTCCTACTGGGTTTTTTTGACTCATCCTCCACACGTAATTCATCATTTAGACCAGTATTACGTTTTACAGCAGAAATTGGAGCTTTTAATTTTCTTGGTGAGGCACGTTTTCCACTGTGACTGGGAATGACTGGGCCACTGTTGGCTTGGGGGCCTGTGAGAGGCCCCTCAAGGAGTTTCCCGACGGTATTGGGTTGCCTTGTTTGTCCGTTGTTGACCTGCATCCGTTGGACCAATTGAGGACTTTACCACATCTCCTACATATACCTGAAGGCCTAGGTCTCCTATTTATGCCATTCCTAGAGGAGATATTATTCCTAGAAATTCTGTGCCTGCAATCACTTCTCAGATGTCCTAATTTACCACAATTAAAACACCTGGCAGTTTGATGTCTCCTCATTGCTGTGGAAATCGCTTCTCCTACCCACGATTCATCGTTATTGCTAAACGTCTCAACATTCATCGTATGCTGGATCCATTCATCCATAGGTGCTGATCTAGACTTTAAAGGCCCAGTTATCTTTTTGCATTCTATGTTTGCATTCTCAAAAGCTAGAGATTCAAGAAGTATTCGTCTAGCTTCTGGGTCTGTTACCCCTATGTCCAGAGCCTTCATTAATATTTGCAAAAGTCAAGAAAGGGTTCTCTCTGTCCCTGCCTAATTCTGGTATATGATTCTACCCTTTTTGCTGGATCTTGTATCCTATTCCAAGCATTTAAAGCTGCTTGGTGACTTAGACACAGTACTTCATCGTCCTAAAGAACTTGGACCTGTGGATGAGCATATTCTCCTGCATCAAGAATTTGATCTTGGGAAACCTCCACACCTTTTGCTCTTCCTTGCTGTTCCATATGTTTGGATTCTTCACTGAAATAAATTCCAAACATCAAGGAAGTTCCATTATCTAAAACTGCAGACACTAACGGATGGAAATCATGGGGGGTAGCTCTAGCATTAGAAGCCCATGTCCTTACCCTTTCCTTTACATATGCAGAGTGCAAGACAAAATTAACAATAGCTTGCTTAATTTCTTTTAGATCATTCATTGCTATTGGCGTCCATCTAGCTTCTGTGACTCCCTTTGAGCCTTTAGAAGTTGACGCTTTGTCAGAATTAAGTATAGTTTATGCTGCTAAATCCTTGGTAAGCCAGTACTAATAGCCGGTGTTGGCATTATATCCTGTCCTTGTGCCTTATTACTCTGTTCACCAGCTCCAATCATTTCTTCAATCATTTCAAGTCTTTTTATTATTGTCTTTATTTTTGTCTC